TGATAGCTCGATTTCCTCATCGCTCGGATTCATTTGCTGTTGTTTCCGCTTGGCTGACAGACGCGAGAAAAAACTCTTTATTTGCTGTGCTGTCCTCCATTCCTGTGGCTTGAAAAGAGGCTTTCCATTTCTGTCTTTTACTTCTTTCATTTCCCTTGAAACTTGAGCGGGATCTACTTTCAGGCCCGTTGCCACACCTGAATCAAACTGTTCGATAAGAAATAATTTGGCTTTCTTTCCTAATTGTTTCCATGTCCTCGTGCTCTTTAATGCCCATCCAATAGCCGTTTCATTTTCTTCGATCTTTGAGTGCTCTTGTTCTTGGTTGGATCGTGGGACACTSTCTGCTGTTGTCCCTACAAATTTTACACCAGTCACTTTCTCAGCCCATGTTTTCCTTACTGAGTCATACATGGATTCCTTCTCAGTTGTTCTCACGTGCTTTCCAGTGTCCATATGTGCTTCTGCTTCATCTCTAGTCTTGAAAGTCAAAATGCAATCAGTCTCACTGCATGAGTAGATGTCGTGCTTGATCACAGGGTTTTCGGCATGCCGTGCAGCTACTAAACCAAGTTCTCTCTAAGCCAGTTTCCTGTTGGGCCTGAACTTGAAGCTCCTTGTACTTGATCAGACGTCCTGGTCCGATGTTAAAACTTCGCCAGGCTCGTATCCCATGTTTTTCGTAAGAAAAATTGTTCAAAAGACTTATTCCTGGTATCTTGTTATCTTTACCATTATCTCTCAAAGGATTTACTTTGGCTACAGCAACTCGACATCCTTTGAGGCCACCATGCGACTCGAGAGCTTTTTTCATATTCTCGGCTGAAGTAACATCATGCTTTTCGTTTACCCACCTTCTGATATGAGCTTTCATTGGGGCAATTTTGCGGTCGCAGATGTCCTTTCCTGCTTGAGGATCTGAAAAGTCGTATCTCAAAGGCGTAATACCAGTTCTCTTGCCAGTGTATGGTAGGCTTAGTAGAAGAGGGCCATTGTGGTAGCATGAAGCATTATCTGAGCGCATGTAGGCTTTCTTGATGGAAGGATAATCTTGTCTGACAGCATGAAACAGGTTTTCGACAATAGATGTTACTGAAAAGGCATCTTGAACACAAACATTAAAGAGATGTACATAGCACTCAACGTGGTATGCTCCGTCCTGTTTGGTGATTACAGCAGAGACGTGCYAACTTCTCCCTTTCTTGCCGAAGAAGTCGCTCATGCGCTCTCGATAACGCTGGGGTAGGAACTTCATAGCCCAGTCCATAACGATTAGGCAAACGTCATCAGTGAGGTTGGATAGGGCTTGTTGCTTTGCTTGVTCTTGATTGATGAGTCGCAGTAAATGTGATTTCCAGGCATTGATAGAACGAATACATTCTGCAACTTCAAACCYCTTGATTGCTCGCTGTTCTTCAGTATATGTAATCTCGACAGCCTCGATTTTTTCAGTGATATCTTGAAGAACGCTTTTTAGGGATTCACATCTTTCGCATAATACATCATGGTTGTGTTGACAATCACTTGACAAAGCAWCAACGTTTGGGTCGCTGAGGGCATATTTGATGCAATGGTCTTTACRGTGCTCGTTACTGCTAACATGTGATTTATAGTCAGCCTTTAGATACCTTCTCCCTTCTACCAGTTGTTTTAGAGCTACTTTTCCCCATTGCTCACCAGCTCCGTTTTCCACGAAGGAATCTACTACTTTCATCACGTTATCAAAAGCCTCAGTCCCTTCTGCAGTCAGGTTGTCTAGTCCTTGAAGAGACTTTTGCATGGATGCAGAACATACTTGAAGCATTCTCCATAGCGATCGATCACTAGCTGGCTGGAACTGATGGAACACGCAGTAGCTTTTGTACTGAGAAATAATTCGTGATGGTATCATCGTTCTGATGACCGCCGGAATCAAAATATTTTCTCCTGAGTCGAGCTTCATGGTTTTGGTTCCAAAAGCAACATCTTGTAAGAATTCTGGTTGGGATATGTACTCTATAAAATGGTCTACCTTTGTTTGTTCGATTCTTTGGCGAAAGAGAGGTTGAGTAGACACAGGCTGACCTTTCCCTGTCTCGATGCCATGTATACGTGCCTGGTCGATTCTCCACTTTGACAGTCCAGGTATTAATTCTTGAAGTTCAGTTTTTGTAAAATCGTTAGCAAAAAGAGACAGAATTTGTCTTTTGATTTGCCATGACGCTGCTTGGTTGTATGCTTTCACAAGAACATTCACCAACCCTTCGGTTCCATCAAAGTGAAGCCTATTAGSACTACCAGTTGGTTCGATTCCAGGTAAAGTTCCTCGTTTGATTGACTCCCACAACTTGTGTTCTTGGCCAGGGCTGAAAGTTGTCAGCGCAGTTGATATCATCTCCTTTGCTTTTCTTGAATAATATTTTTGTTGGGTAATGGAGATGTCATCCCAAGAAGTATTTAACGTTGATAATACAGGACTAATGCGACCACTGCTCAACTCGTTGATCGCTTCATTCAAGGTGTGTCGTTTCTGCCGTTGTAGCTCCATTTCATCTTCCCATATGCTGACTTCCTGGTCAGGTACAGTACTCTGTGATGACTGCGACGATGTTGTTTCAGTCTCATACTGAACTTGCGGAGATGGGGAACGTGGTTCATACTGAACATGCGCAGATGAGGTACTTGGTTCATACTGAACATGCGCAGATGAGGTACTTGGTTCATACTGAACATGCGCAGATGAGATACTACTTGGTTCACACTGAACACGCGCAGATGAGGTACTTGGTTCGCAGAGGTTATCAGACTCCAAGGAAGATAAATGAAATGGTGCTTCATGCTCTTCTTCACGAAATACCTGTCAAATGCATATGTGAACGATTGAACTAAAGTGCACAGGAAAAACAGAGCGAAGTCTAGCGAAAGAAACGGTATAAAAGGGAAAAGAAGTGCATGGAATCACTGGCAAAGAAAACGTAACCAACAGTCAGGTGATCTAGCGATACATTTGTGACAGAAAAGATTAAAGTATGAAATATACAGCCTACCATGCACTTCCCCTTCCGCTATCAATGTCAAAGATGTCTATGTTAACCTGTACCCAAACTTTCGTGTTAAGTTCAATGTGGCCATCTAATCAAGGGATGGTTTAAATGTTTTTATGAGCTTGAATATGAAAACAAAGTACTCAGGACTTTAATTCCTTCCTGAATTTCTTTGCCACGCCTTTTATAATGCATATGTCGGCAGGTTTCGCAAATGGCTGCAGAAAAAAAAGTAATGGCAAAGAAAGCAATATTAAGCCTTTGAAACATCATTCGAGACAGATAAAATTGGAGGGAGGGATTGAAAATGAAAACGAATCTTTAAAAAAAGAATGAAAAAATAGAATAAACTCAAAATTTAGCGTTTGTCAAGGGAAAAAAAACAAAAATCAGAATGAAAATTAAAATGAGAATAAGAATTACACTGGACGACAATGAAAATGCAAAAAGGAAAGAAAAAAAAAAAGAAGAATTAGAAAAGACGGTAAAAATGAAAATGAGAATGGAATATGGAATCAAAAGCCGTACTCACTCTTGAGCATATCAAAAAGCAGTATTATCGATATGACCAATACTTACCAGAACCAATCGGGACAACAACATTAAAAAGATGATAGATTTCAGCAGACATTGAAGCATTTATTCTTCGAGGGAMTTGCATCTGTTTTCGSTGACTTTTATGGCATGGGTAGCTGCAAACACGGCTTTTACGACCTTGCCAATCAGTGGTCAGATTTTTTCGATGTTTTGGGCAGATCGTCATTACTTCAGTTTGAGCGGTGCTGAGATCGAACAATCCTGCACGATTTAAGATGAGMTCTCTCTCCGAAAGGCCTGTTTTTCCCCGTCCACGTTTACTTGTTACTTGGAGACTAGCTAGATGTMAAGTCATATCCTRAGTACATGCTGATAAAGGGACAAGGGCAGATCCTAATCCAGTGGTACTACAAGAAGAATCTTGAGATGCGAAAGAGCAGCTCACTTGTGCAGCCATTACTGACTCCAGGTATTGAATATTTCACAATCAAGTCGAAACGAGTTGAAGTTTCTAAGTTACGCAAGATTAATAAAATACACTTCATTAAAACGACGTTGAGAAAACGAATCGAACATAGTGTTTGTGCAATAATTTGTGCCTTTTTGCTTCTTTTATTGTAGTATTTAAGTCTTAGTCATGCGTTCCCAGAGAGAAAACTGTTTTTTTAAATATGTCTTATAAAATGCAAATAAAGTAGTCTTGCCTTAAAATTTATGTAAATTAGCTTTATATAAACAGTCTTTTAATACTCACGGAGTCGTATTACTTGGGATTTCTTCGTTAGATAACTTTAATTTGGATAAAATAAGGTTATTCTAGTTGAAATTGTTTTTGAAAACAAATTTTAAGCTTTGTATTGTCGAAGACGGGAGTCAGTAACGCAGCCTTGTGTCAACCGGAAGTAAACACTTAACGCAATTACGCAAATTCAGAAGGCGATTTTTGCCAACTTTGAAAGCTGCTCGCGTTCGTTTAATTTTAGATCCCAATTTTAACTTTACGATTTCTGAAAGCTCTGACGTAGAGCTTTGAAAAAATGTTATTCACTTAAAAAATAACTGCCGCACTTTTGAGAAAATATGTTTGAAAGTTGACGAATTTTTAGATCGTGAATTGAACAGGCTTTGTATGCAAAGTTCAAGTCCGGGTCAAAATTTAAAACCTCATCGTATTTGACTCAAAACCTCAAGACTTCTCGATCATATGATCAATTTCCCAAACAAAATATTAAAACTTGCAGAGATAAAGAAGAATTGACTTTTGAGAGGTTGAAGTTTGGCCTTAGATTTTGGCATCGCAAAGGCCGATCACGATCAAAAACCGAGGGGGGTGGTCTATCTCGGGGAAAAAAAGCTCAACAAAACTTTAACTACCATGGTTCGTCATCTAATCGGATAGTCTTTTATTGCTGAACATTTGGTGCAAATCGGTTTACCCCGATCTTTTGCCTCTGCCCGGTTTTCTCTGACAATCACTCTTAAACTTTTTTTAAAACTTCGATTTTCCGAATTGAAATTTAATGCTGATTCCAAATCTGGAAAGAAAAATAGGGTGTCCCGAGCTCGTTTTCGAGATAATCAGCATTTAATGGAAGCCTACGCACGATTTTTTGGAGTAAAAATTGCGCCACCGGAAGTGATTAGAAAAAAATTAAGATT